CGTTAGTCGACACTTTTCTCCGTGAAACAGAGAGTTTGTTCTATTTGCGGAATACTTTCTAGGTGTCTTGCAAATCGACTTCCGGCGTTACGGGTCGACTTTAACTGAGACGAGTCGTTCGATTCGTGTCGATTCGACAACATCTTCAACCCTATTTATTAGCTACTTGCGGAATATTTTTAAAGTGTCCTGCAAATCTACTTCTGGTATGACGGGACGACTTTAGCTGAAGGGAACCGTTCGATTCGACAACATTTTCAACGACCCTTGACAGTTGCTTGCGATATGTTTTCTACGAGTCTTGCAAATTGACTTCCGATATGCGTTTCCATCTAATCAAAGAAGGTTTATCAGATTTCCGTTATAACGAGACGTATCAACTGCGAATTAACTTCTGGTAGAACGGTTCACAAACTGCCTTTGACGAATCGTAGCAGTTTCATTGGGTGTATTGGACAACCCTCGGGGTGGGGGGAGTACAACCTTTAATGAAGGGCTCTAAGGTAAACGCAAATTTTTGTTCGACAATCAAAGTTCCTACAATGCTTCGGGGAGCATTGGTTTTCCAGGAGTTTGTTTGTTTGAGACGCAGTGGCCTGATGATTGACGTGCAGGAGTAGCACTAGAGATCGAGGTAGACCATAGAGTCGAGCCCTAGCTGAGACTGTGTAGACAGACAATATGCTCATACTGACAGTACTAGCAAACTTTAGGAGAAGCCTAACGAGGGTCTGGAGTAGATGCCTACGATGGATCAGCATTCCATATATAGGGGAGTTGTAATGATCCATACATAGCGGCACACATTAACATTGCCATTAATATCACTATTTGTCTCTCTTGATCCTGGTATCATTTTCCTTACAGGACAATGGTTTTTAGTGCAATTGCTGCGGTGAATAATTGTTAAATTAAGCCTTACCTTAGGTGAGAAATTCCCAGCACCATAGAAAGCGACTTCATACCACGTCGCCACGAATAGCCAAGTGGCTTTGAATCTTCTGTGATTTACAAAGGTGGCTGTAACATCATTAGTAGCTCGTTTAAGCAGTTGTGAATCTGTGGTCTCTCGGTAGAACACTTGTCCTCCATTACGTGTATCAACATCAGCCCAAAATGGAGCCACGAGTCGACGACTATCTCCCAGAGGAAATGGATCCGGGGTATACTGTGAAACTTGGACCAGGAAAGAAATCACTCCGTTGGTGTTGACCTGAAATGATCAATTAAACCCGTAATCTACGGCTAAACTAATGGGATCGTCAACTTTTCTTTGATACCGCTTTGGTGGCCAGCAGCGGAACAGGACAAGTGTCAAGGTAGCAAAAGATAAAGGATGACAGCGAGTCCAACTGTAGTTCGTCTGGTGATGGATAACATCCGTTTAGTCATTATTAAGAAACTGCTGTTGATATGTGTATAACTCTGAAACCTGTCCTTCAATAGTATCAATTTTTGGATAATTAATTATTTAAAAATTAAAGTGAGGCCTTAAACTTAGGGTTCCCTGATGGTGCCTTAGACAGGAGGAAGTTTGGGAGATCATTTGAAATAAACGAAAAAATTAAACGCGGATTGTTGTTTTTGACGTCTTCGATAAAACGTTTATAAAAGGTTACTTTATAGGCGGGACGAGGATTAATCTTCCAGTCTCCCTGCTCAAAAAGTTCAAATTAACTCAGTTGGCGAATTTTTAGCATATTGGAGAGCAATCTTAGAAGGGTCGAATTACTCTTTGAAATGTCAAGACGCTGTCAGATATATATCTTAATTGATACTCCTTGCAGTGGGTCGAGGAGCAAACACAAGTTATTTGGTTTCTGGAGCATAAACACGTCTCTTGAAGTTTAAATGATCATGTCATATGAAAACTTATTTTTTGCTTGTGTCATTGCTTTGAAGATTCATGCCTTAAAAATAAAGGTAACGGTTGATTTGGAAAAGAGGCTATGCAGCGTAATCATTTTATTCTGTTTCGTAAGTTATTCAAAGAATTTCCGGTCTGGTGATTTCCGTTTAATCATTTTTCTATTTTCAGTATTTTCGTACTTGAATTTTTTTATGAACTAGACCAACGTTGTTAATATATTCCCACCAATAGCGTAGCTCTGTTTTCTGCCTATAAACACACACACAAAACCCACAATTCCTCCATTCGCTCTGACAAAAGGCTAGCGCTCGAAACGTCAGATAAACTCCGTTGATAGTATTGAATTACACTGTTATACTCTCCCATCGACGCAGCACCACAGTTTCTTTAGAAACTTACCCCTTTAT